CTCTCTTTCTCGCTCTCTCTCAGTGCCAACACGAAATCAAACGTGGAGCGAGTTAGTCCACTACAGGTCCCACGAGCGTGGCTCGAGTACCCCACCCGTCGGCTCTAGCGCGGTACACTTTATTACCCGTATTTCTATGCTTGTTCCTATGAATAGCTCTAGGCCACGTAGACGCGTTCCCTTGTATCTTGCGAAAGCTCACAATTCCTTCACTTTGGCATTGGATACGTAAATTTTAAAGGCAATTTTATGAAATCCTTCGAGGGGACTTCATATCGTTCGGTGGTACCACCCTCATCTTTATCCTTGTCCCGTTGGCAGCTATATCCTTTGTCCCTCTCTCTCTCTCTCTCTCTCGTTCGATACGAACCTACGTACGATCATCCTCGGTACGGGCGGACTCCGGGAAAACGTTGACTCGGATACAGCGAGGCTGGCAAAGCCGAGACAAATTGGGGGTGGATGCTGTATTGTTTTCGAACAATGTCAGAGGGATTAGTTTGACTCTTGCTGTACCGGGAGATCCTACCGGGTCCACGGGACTCTCTCGTCTAAGAGAGGATGAGAGTAAGGGGTCGTGCGCTTCCTGGATTAATGGCTGAACGGGGTTGCCGGGAAACGAGGATTTGTTCGGATGCTTATTTATCAGGAATGAAATGGTTACTTTTTTTTTTCTATGCGCTTGCACACGTGCGTTTTAATGTACGCGTCACGTGATCGATGTACGCTGTCTGGGAAGTTCGTTAGGTTAGGTTGCGGGATTTATTTAATTGTAGGAATTATCGGTACGGGTTACAGGGGGTAAAGCGGTATAGGTATGTATATAGGTAGCATCAGGTTTGCAGATACGCATAAAGGCGTTGTGAAAGGCGCCACCGTTGATTGGATCACCGCAAGAAATCGATACTCTCCTCGTCGTCCTCAGCTTCTCCCTTTTCCACCTCGTCCGTGCCGTGCCCACCCGTACCTCCCAATTTCCCCGTGACGGCCTCCTGGAGGATCCTCGAGTGCCCTCTCATCGCCCTCCGGGGCCACCCAGCCGTGCTCTGTCCGGCAGTCTCCATGCCAACACCCGCTCGATAAATTTATTGGTCGCTTCTGACACGGCTGCTGGGCTCTCCCTCGGAAACGGGAGACTCCTACGGAAGTGGTGGGACTCTTCAATTTCGATCGGCTTACTTTGGCCGGTCACCTCGTCGCGTCGCGAGGCTTCGCGGTACCGCGATCAATTGTTATCATACTTGCGCCACGTGGTCGAACTCCTATACACGCAATGGAGATCGACCAGGCTGTATGTACGCTACACTGTAAATATAGATATAGACACGGGTACTTTGTTCTATGAGAATGCAATATACAGACAGAGACACCGTGTGTCCGCGTTTTCAACCAGCGACCACAAAATTTCAGAGTGTACGGCACTTCGAAGGAAAGTCTCGAGTCGACGCATCGGACGCCGTTTTTTGGTAAATTCCTTGAGTCGAGAAACGTTCAAAATTCAAATAAACCAAATTCTATTTAGCTTACGATTACGTAGCGCTAGCGGGATGACACTGGCTTGACTTAATATTGGGTTTGGTTTTAATATTTTTTCATTGTGCTTCCTGGCACCCCTCCGAGTGCCATTCTTAGTTTGTTCTCCCCGTCGACGGCTCATGTCAGATTCCGAAAGATCGTTGCCCAAATCAATCCTGTCGTCGGATTGTAAATAAATTAAAGTCTCTTGCCAAAGCGAGAGTCAACAAGGAGAGAGAAAGCGCGAGGCGCATGCGCGAGCTCGCGTAGACGTGCGACGACTTGACAGCGAGTGCGACAGAGAGAGGGACGACGAGGGGACGACGGGCGAGAGCGAGAGAGAGGACAACAGTTAGGCACGAACACGTTTATTAACGAAGAACGGAGAGCGCGTTCTCGCTATACGGCAGGGTTTGCTGGGATGCTGGCACAGCATCAGCAGCAACGGCGCAGGCAGGGTCAAGTGCTTTGCCGGAGCCCCCTCAGTTCACCCCCCTTCCTTCCCGTCGACGAATCTCGTTCTACCCTTGCACACGCACGCACCCCCACAGTTAACACACTCAAACCCCAGCATCCCTCCTGCACCCCAGCCACCAGTCCTCCGAGGCCTCTCTTGCTCCCTGTACATCCCCTTTGGCTACCCTCTGGCACTCGAGCACCTCCCCCCCCGGTCACCCCGTACACCACCCTCACACCACATCGTGGCCTATACTTTGCCGGCAGAGCTGCGGCACATAGTCATTAAATGCACTCGGAATTAGTTACACGGGTGCGCACAGAGGACGCGCGTCCCCGCACAAATGTGAACCGTCGGTATACGTCACTGGGGGAATCGGCGGTTCCGGTCGGGGTCGTCAATATTGTGATTTAATTGCGAATCCCGAGTAAACGCACTTTCCTGGTTCCGTGTTTGCGTGCGTTTCGCATCTTTTTTTTTTGTTCGTACTTTTTTTTTAGGTTATATGCTTACATAATGCTAGTATAATGCTACAATAATTCTTCCTTTCCGATTTGCTTGTATCCTGTACTGGCTACGATTGTTATGATTATCGTTACTACTGTCGTATAGGGGAGTCTGGGTAATTTCATGCGTTCCGCTTCTTAGTCGAAGATTGCCGAAACAAGTAGCCTGGTAATGGCGGGGATACTTTAGGACGAATCTTTTTTACTTTTTTTTATTTTTACGGGGATACTTTTAGGACGAATTTAGCTCCGAAACCCGTACCACTTTACTCTTGGGTAAATCATCGCTACTGCGACGTACTGCAGCGAAACGCCGTGTTACGTTTCGGGCGGGTAGATCGTCGGGTGGAGACGAGATGGCTCCTTTTCGAGGACCTCCATTAACGTCGGCTAAGAATCTGCGCTCGGCTTCTTTCCAGAGCCCGGTTGGAAATGAATACAAGTGTGTACGCTTGGGTGTGTACGAGAATGACAGAGAAAGCTCTCTCGGGCAGAATAAAGAGAAACGAATGAGAAAAGAAGGCAAAAGTGACGGAAGGAATGGAGGAAATAAAGAAAAATGAAATAAAAGCCCTGCTTACATCGGGCAAGTTAGAAGTGAGTGCGCGCATGCGCATACGGAAATAAATAAAGAATCCGCTTATTCGAATCGTCCTGCTCCGATGAGCTGATAAAAATAAATCATCGTCAAAAGGAACAATCCCTCTCGACTTCGTATCTTTCGTGAAAGTGGCAACAATTCTTGTTCGATTTCGCGAAATAAAAGAGAGAAAAATCCTACCGTCTACCAGCCGACGTGAAAGCGCGGGGAATCACGATGATCGAGAACCCATTTTAAAAGCTCCCTTGGTCGCTGTCGAAGGGAACAGGTAAAATAAAGAATGAAAATAAAATAGGCAGAGCGATATTGAAACCGACGTGAATGCTTGCGGGGAAAATGTAATTTCAGTTGGAAACAGGAACTCTGGGAGAGGAGACGGGGGAGAGAGCGAGAGAGAAAGAAGCGAGAAAACCATCGGTGGACGACCCACATCGAGACTGGAGTGTTTGTATTGCTGACGCGGCGATCCAATCCAATCCAATACTATATACCCATATAACGGGTAGACTTCAATGTACCTGTCTATACTTATACACATATGTGTACCGACATGCATTTTTATATAAAAATATATAGAACACGGATCGACGGATTTTCCAATTCACGATACAATTTATAATTGTTCATACCACCACCCTTGCAATTGGCGTCCAACTGGCATACCCAGTACGTTGTATCGAACTACCCAATTTTTCGTAAGAATTTCGTTAATTGTATCATCAAAATAATTTTAAAAATTTTCTACGATTTAAATATTCGAAAATGCGAGGGAGGTGGGTGGGGGGGTTCGGTGGGCGATTAAGCTAAAGGCTTTTCGTATATCTATACTCATGTACCAGGGCATCCGTAGTCCGGACGATAGGGTTGAAACGGTTAGATATTATCCCGGCGTAGGTCGGCGGTAGGCACTATTATCATAAACGCAACAATAACGAGGGATGATCCGACGTGTAAACTGTTAGCCCCCCTTTTCGGCGAGGGTGAGGATTAACGTGAGGCACCCTTACTCTTACCCATTGGGCTTGTGTATCCCCCGTGGATTCCACGGGGGATGTTATTGTTGCCACAGAGAGCGACGGGACCCGACGCTGGCGTCGCGTCGGGACCGACACACCGTCATCCCCTTTCGCGCAGTAGATCTGGTCGTCCGGCCGACCCCTTTTCAGTCCCCGTTGCAACCCTCGATAATATTGGCGCCGTTTATCGCCTCCTATTACCAGCTTCATTGGACTGAGCTATGCGATTAGTAGATACGTCACTGAACTTGCTACGAGGATACCTGTCATCTCGTGTAAACAGGTATTTTCACTGTGCAAAATTTTTTTTCTTTTTTCGGATTTATCGAACAAAAAATATTTTTTTCGATCGGGGGACGAATTTTAGGGAAAGACATTTTTTATATCTCATATACGTACCTTATACCGTGGTATCGGTACCATGCGTAGACCATACTGAATTTTGACCGGTAACGTGTCTATAGGTGTATCCTGTATACTCTCAATCACACGATTCGTTATTAGCATCGTCTACGCTTTAGGTATTATGACGTTTCACGATGCTGACAAACATACGTGCTCTGCAGTACATATGAACGAGACACGCGCCGCCACGCTCCCATTCAGAGCCAATATTGTGTCCTGACGTACAAAGCGACGACTGTTCGAACGGACGCGAACAATTTCTCGCTGGTAATTTCGCGGATCTTTAATCGCTGTTATAATTCCTCGGGGCGACACGTATGTGACGTACGTCGGACAGCCATATTCTCGTGAAACATTAATCGTTAGGAATTATGAGTATTTTGAAAATAAAATGGTCTTTTTCGATTTTTGACAATGCACCGTTTATTTCTAATTTTTTTTTTTTTTTTTTTTGGTGCACCAAAAAGAAATTGGGTTGTAAGTAAATTTTTTTTTTTTAGGTTATCAAAGCGGATATCATTCGAGTACCAATAGCGGATATGGTACTGGTTCGACAACTGGATATAACGCAAGCAGCGGAAGCGGATATAGTTCTGGCAGTCAGAGCTACCAGAATCATTCACAAACTGGTCCGTGGGCAGGTGGCTATAACGCATCGTCTTCCAATTATCAATCGCGTAATCAACATCAACGAGGCGGTGGTCAGGCGTCCCAGCAGCAACGCGGGGGAGGTTCACAGTACTATCAGCAAGGTGGTCGCGGTAATCACTATCAGAATCAACAGCAGCCGAATCATTATCAGAATCAACAACGGGTAAGATATGTTCGTGTACTCTGGATATAGTGGAATTGAATATCAAGGATGATTTGTTTAATTGGAAAAAAGAAAAATTATTGAAATTGATGTCATATATTATTTTATGCAAAGAATATACTGATCGGGCCTTTTTTATGTTTACTGTATTTTTTGCAATGAGGATTATTGGCTGTTTCAGAACCAATCGTCAAATCGGTACGGAAACGGCGGCAGCGGAGGCGGCGGATGGAGAGGCCGATAGGGAAATTTGCTCTAAGAGAGTAATTTTATATTAATGAAAGAAAAAGAAGAAAAAAAAAGAGAAACGAATGAAGATAAATGAGACACGAATTGATCGATATTATTTGAGAAGAACAAGAGGAAATATTTACGATTATTAGCGACACGGCAATAACGACACGATACTTTTAAGTCTTTAAAGTACAGGGTTGCCGTCTTTAGAATGAAATATTAATTTTTGGTGTATTTGCAAATTACGAGTGAACAAAGTCGCTATGTATATCACTCGTGGAATAACGTTTCTTTAGAATCAATTTTTATTAGTTTTCTAATACACGATTTCACTCCTTATGACGTCATAATCACATAACGGAGTGTCTCCTTATACCTGGTATAATCGAGAAGTTCATTAACATAAGGTAGAATACCGATAATAAAATGAAATTAGGCGCAAGAAGCAGTACGTATTGGATACCCAGCCCATGGAAAGTGGCGCGAAAACAATTGTAAATTCGAAAAGTTTCGTTTGAGCATGTATCATCGATAATACAGAATATTTCCTTAAAAAAAGACAGAGAGAGAGAGAGATGGAAAAAAAAGAAAGAAAAATTGTACAACATTCTTGATACCCTCGTTTTCACCCATTGTATATGTATATTTTGCCGATAAGAAAGCTCATGAGACTTTATGTAATTCAGTGAGTAAAATTCTTCTTTACTGACGTAAGCCGAGAATCCGAAGTAGAAAAAGAGTATGGCGAGCGTTAGAAACACAGTAAAGAAGAGACTGGACGAACTCTGGCGCACATCTGGTAGCGAATGAGCGAGCGAGCATTGAACCAGCGAGTACCACTCGAGAAAACAATAGCGAGCAGCGCTCTTGTTCTCTCCTCTTTCCTCCCATTCTCTCCTTCTCTCTCATTCCTCTTTCACTCTTGTGATCCTTCTTTTTTCTCTCCTCTCTATCGTCACCCTGAAATCTGAATCCTAGCCACCGTCTCCTAGGGTGCGTTACGGTTAGCAACGACTAGAGAAGAGCATTGCCCCTTTTCATAATGAATATTCTTTAATCGCTGAAAAATTCAAACATGAAATCTTGCACCTTTGTACCCACGCGATACACTAGTTCGACCGTCCGGTACGAAAAAAAAGGGGTTATCCATAAAATGCCCGCATGCAATCACTACCGTGTTCTTTCTCCCTGAGTAGAGAGAGAGAGAGAGAGAGAGAGAGAGAGAGAGAGAGCGACTGGATACTTCCGATAGCCCGCATCTATTCGATAAAATCCTCATCCTAGGGACACACGAGCTATGCCTATTTAGTGTCTCGACGTATTCAGATAATTAGCATGTAGAGCAAAATCTACGGGGTGGCGAATAAAAAAAAATCGATACAGACAAAGTGGCTTTCAATGAAGTATCAAGTAAAAGGTTTTACTAGGAATATATTGAACAGACATTTTATATTATTACATGGTCAATTATATGTACGGTGTCATATATCTAGAGAACCATGTAAATTCTGGTCCATTACTCATAAAATAGTCTCTACTGTAAGATCCAGCCAGCGTTCTTTGACGCGAGAGATTTTCGCACGTTTGATCCTTACTTTTTATCTCGCTATTCTTACCATGTATCTGCCAGTGTTTTTAATATGTATATCATGTTCTATATACATGCGTACAGCAATGCGTGGTGGCAGTCAGGCACCGGCTGTAGGGGGGTTCGTACTCAGAGAGTGAGCGAGTGAGTGAGTCGCACTCACGTTATCTCGGCTTTGCCTCCCTTTGATGAAATAAAGCGCTATCCGCGCCGAGATCTACCCCAGGTTAGTAGTTGCGGTTCCCGGGGCACTCTCTTTATTCCCGTGATCCTGCCGACGGGACACAATGCGGCTCTTACGTCCCATCGAGTATACTCATGGAGCGACGGTCGCCACTGAAATGCGTGTACGGTTTGAGGTTATAGTACGCAAAGTCGGTTCCCGGCATTCTCAAACCGTAAAGCTCTCATTACTTCACGTGCATCACAGTCGCACTCGGTGGATGCCAGTATCGCGCAGGATGATAAAGCGCTTGGGATTTTGAGGTTAGAAAATTTATATTTCCCAGTAGAACGAGAGGGTGGACAGGAACGAATGTCAACGGTGAACTCTCGAGTGGATGTCTCGAAGTGGAAGCGTACAAGGGTTATGTGGCTTAAGGGATGAGATTTGTAGAATAGAGGGGGATACCCTGATGATGTCTCAGGATTACGCACGTGCGTTCGCACGTACAGCACCGTAGGCGCAAGAAAGAAGTACGTACGAGCTACCGAGCGATGCATATTTTGACGTATATGTAGAAACGTGCGTGTAACAGAGGTAGTCCGTTGGATGGTTGAATTCTGGAGTGGTAGCAGGAGAGCCCTTGTACGCTCTTGGAGAAGAAGGTCCAGGTGTAGCTTGTACCTATACCCACCTCACGAGTCGCTCTATGCTCTCTCTCTCTCTCTCTCCCTCTCGCTCCTCCTTCACTCTTTACTCTCCTCTCCTCCTTTCACCGCCTACTGGTACCTAGATGTATACGCGTATACACGCCCGTTGCGTGCTACTGAAATCATGAATATAGGCAGCCACCTAAAGGTAAAGAATACGGGTTCAAGTGCTGCGCGCAAAATGGATGGCGGATGTAAATGCCAAGTAGCCAAGTACTACGTGGTGGTTTCTTCTCTCCTTTTCTTCAATGCCAGCAGCGGCTGCTTGATACGTAGGGGTATTGGACCAGACGCGACCGACGCTGCCACGCGAAGGAGGTACTAGAATGAGATTGTCGTTAGTCGAGTCTATGCGGAAAAATGTTATAATTTCTTTCTGTAGTGCGTTCGATCACAGACATTTGACTGTTGATATGCTCCTTCGTACCGAAGAAAAAATATATCTCTGGGTGGTCTTACTTAAAAGGTACCTCAAAGGACGAACGCCTCGTTACCGTAGTCGCTGACGAACTCGGATACCGGATGACGCAGCATCGGCTCCCGGTTACCTAGCGCCATTGTTCTCCGGCATTTCTTCCCAGCTCGTGCTCAAGTACTCTATCGCTACCCTATGCTATATAACGAAGAACGTCAGAGCTCCGACACCCTGGCCATGTACTGTTATAAATTTTTACCGTTTCATCTTGGGTATACCTGTATATACGTATAGAGGCTGTATTTACTTTTTCTTCCTTCTCCTTGCATACTTGTAATTTTTTTCACTCATGCCGAATGTCACTCAATGTTTCCTCATGTCAAAGTCACTCGAGCAATTTCCATGCGTCGAACGTTGGAGTATCAGCCGATGAATATGTCCTGCGACGGAAGCCGGTGTTCCCGAAGGTGACGAGACGGGACCCCCCTCGAGGATTCCCGCGCGGGGCACCCGCCCGTCGATAATGTCCCGGAACCCACTTATTCGTGAATAAGAAGGAAGCCTACCTGCCAGAAGCTTACTTTGGGGCCCCCCATGCGAAATCGGACCCCCCGCGTACAATCCTGTCGACTACTTGACTCGGAATCAGTGCTGTGCGTCCAGTCTCGCGGAAATATTGATACTCTCGTGCGGAAAGTACGAGCTACGAATGCCATCACGCGGATTTCAAGCAGTGGTACCACTGGGTGCTTCCAGTCAATTCTCTTAGGGTGACCCCCCTTCTTCTCCTCCATGGTTAGTCAATGGGTAAGCACCGTGTGTGGGAACCGATCACGAGAACCCGCCAGGAGTCGATGTGAATCGGCCGCTGACTCCTCGAGTACCCATGCGAAACCTCCTGGATGATCGCCCTTAGGGATTTTTCTGTTAAGGATTCCAATGGCTACCCAGTGTAGAACACTGACGCTTACGCGTCGAATACTTTGGGGTTTATTCGCCCTGTCTACAATTTCTATGAAAGCTCAGGAGCCTCTGCACACGTACACTCTCCCTTTCCGTTCCCTTTTTTTCCTCTTGGTTTTTATTTTTATTTCTCGCCTTCTCACTCTCTCGCGCCTCGCTCACTCTTTTCTTCTTTGTCTCGCTCACCACACCGTCCGTTCGTTAAACAATAATACCATCGTGTACGCGCCAACGAGCGGACGAGTACCTACCGCACAATCGCATCTTATGACATTTTTAAGTTCAACCGTCATTTAAGTGCTTGTTAGAGCTGCCCTCGGCGAGCTTTTGTATTGTCGGAGCTACTCTGTTTTCTCGCTCGACTCAAGAGCCGCATATGCAGGGCTGCCAATACTTGAGTAATGGCTATAACGGTCACGCATTGTCTTTCCGTAGGGAAACGGTAAGTTGAAATAAGTTTTGAATTTTTATAGGTTAGATATTACGGGAATGTAAACTGTGGATTGTCAGCGGAACAATTCATTGTAGTTAATAGAGAATGCTTGATTTTCACAAACCGAAGGAATTACTCGGGTATACGGGGTGTCCCGAGGAAAATTTTCCGATGGCAAAGAGACGAGTCGGGAGAAGAAAAATAGAGACAACGATCCTCGCTCTATTTTGACGTACAGGCAACCCTGAAAACGTCACGATCTCAATTCTTGCCGAAGGAAAATAGACTTTCGCGGATTTCATCCCCTGAGTATCGAAAGAGGGCAGGTTCGATGGGCGTTCCCGTGGAAGTATAGGGGTGCGCATAGGCGGAGACCCATCCCCACCCTTGGACTTATACGAAACCCTGATATCTCGGAGCTACCTAGAGGCATGATCCCACAGGGTAGAAAACACCCCTCTGACTTGCCGATTCAACACAGTTAAACCGGTAATAGCCATCGGACCGAAGATACTCCGATCTCCGTACGGCGATTAACTCGGAGTCGTTCTGGATGGATTATCGAAACTCTGTAATCTTCGCGGGATGGAAGTTCGAGAAGTTAGACCTACTTGTCAATATAGAAATATGTAAAGTGAATCCATGCTAAATAAATTTTCGAATTTTTAATAACGCAAAAAACTTTTTCTACAAAGTGAAACTTTTCAGAGTGTACCCAAACACCGATTATCTCTACTCGGTGCTAATGGGTTTCGAATTGCACCCTCGAAACGTAACTCAAGCCACGTCCGCCCTCATGTCTGTTCCTGGAACACAGATAGGTGTAGCCATGGTTACAGAATCCGAAGTACCTGTATCCTCCTGCCTGCCAGTACCCGCTACTCTCCCTGACTGCAACCTGGATCCGATATAGTATATTGGGGAGGATTTAACCAGTGGCCTCGTGCAGGTATCCCATTCTAGTAATTACGGGCTAGATATCAAGTAGCAATATAGCAAGCTATTAATCTAATTCGACTATAGCCCAAGGAATGCTTTGAAGATCAGGACGACCCCCTTGCTGTAACTAGATTCAGCCGTTTGCATCGAAATTCAATATTGGTGGATCAAGGCTTCTTTTCAACATGAACCTGGGTCTTCGGTCATTCTTAGGGATAAACTTGATGATGGTTCCTCCAGGTCATCCAAGATCGACAAACGTATTCTCGTATATGCAAGATACTTTAACTGAATTTTACGTATCGACAAAGTCCAATGCACATCTGGACACATTGCACGGGTGACGTATCACCTATGAATGAGGAACGTCGTTAACCACGTTGTCCTAGATTGACAAACGTATTTTCGTATATGCAAGATACCTTAATTGAATTTTACGTATTAACAAAGTCCAATGCACACCCGGACACATTGCACGGGTGACGTATCACCTATGAACGAGGAACGTCGTTAACCACGTTATTCTAGATCGACAAACGTATTTTCGTATATGCAAGATAGTTCAATTGAATTTTACGTATCGACAAAGTCCAATGCACACCCGGACACATTGCACGGGTGACGTATCGCCTATGAACGAGGAACGTAAATTCAGCTCCTCCTACGAAAACGCAAAGACAACCCTTTGCAATACATTATAGACCCCCTTCAGAGAGGGTTATGGACCAAGGGAGAGTAGGAGAACTTGAAAGAGGGACTTGTGCCAGCTATACGATTATAGCATTAGCATTCGCTTTAAGGATCTCACCCCCTACGTCTTAGATCGACATCGAGACAACCCCATGATTTTCGTCTCTTGGTATTCATGGACGACAAGGGTGCATTCCGTCGACTGTCATGAATTCGCAAGGAGCTACGAGGATTCAAAGGAGCTGAGAAAAAGACAAAGGCAAATAACTTTAATCGTGATACAATTTTTTAAAAATTTTTTTATGAAATTGAAAAAAATTTTTTTCCAAAATTTCTTTACGAGGGTGACGCCATGCTCTGTTGTTTTTTGGATATAATCCGTGTGCTTCCTGTCATAATCTAGAGCCACGTGGATTTACATACCCGTTCCGAGGGGGTGAACAAGGGTGGAGACTCTGGCTGACCCCTGACACCGAAACGCGGTGTCAGTAATCGCATCAAACGACAACAAATCCACGCACTGCGGCGGCCATAGGCGTCCGTGACGACGGGCCGTGGCCACGTGCTGCTGTCACTGGCACATATTATATTATATAGGAATGGCAGAGCGAATAGGTGTAGATATAAGCAGCGCGCGCGGCAGTTAATAAATATGATAATAGCCAAGAGGGATATAGGGTGTGATGGGATACTTGGTGGAAGAGTGACCAGCAGAAGCAGAAGCAGAAGCGTTCCCGGAGTCCTGTCATTCTCAGGCACCCTCGTATGTCATCCTCGTACCCACAGTTCGCACCCCATTTTCTCGCCTGATGCGTGAGCCCAAGTCCGTTTTCCTGCGACACTATTCTGTATCAAGTGTTTCCTCCTATATACACATACGTATATATATAGGGTCAGCAGCGAAGGGATCATTGTATGCATATAAATTTTGCCATAAAAAATATAAAAAATCAGTAGGAATAATATCCTTTCGAAAATACCTAAAAGTCAACCAGCAGAGATGTCTCAAAAAAAAAAAAAAAAAAAAGGAGGT